GTTCTAGATTTTCTGAGGAGCCGATCTGGCAAAGACGTGCAAAATGAGCAATATATGATAAATGAACAAACAGGATACATGCAACAAGAATTAGCAGCATCATCAAGCCGAACAGGTAAGAACATCTGTAAAATTTACTGGACACACACACAAAATGTTACAATAACAATGTAAACAATAAAATACAAAAGTAAGTTTTTAATTATAAAAATACCCAACTTATAAAAGCGGATTCCTCATCACGTATAAAGCTAGTATGTACATGTCGTCTGTAAAGAATTATGTTCTTAACAGACCTCACAGATCTTCAGCGATTTTTAAAATATACTACAACTCGCCTTACACTTAAACAATTTGGTGTTGTGTGTGTGTTGAATTCTTTGGGCCTATGAATTAATTCTCAGTGGATTTTCTTACTGCTCCATCTGCCAATTCTTGTCTTTAGATGTTTTTCTTTAGCCAGTATTTTGATTAGTCTCTGTCGGTGTTTCCTTTTTCTTTTGTGGACTAAATTATTTTGTTAATGTCGCTTGATAGAGGGCAGCCCATTGGACATTCCCTGACAATTGCCTTTAAATTGGTTCATCATTTAATGCACGTACAGGCGATCGGTAAGCGCTATAATGCACAATAATAAACAAAAATTATAATAATAATTTTTGAATTTAACATCACGACTAATATGTTGCTGCAGAATATACTACGAGTTATGATAATCATTGGGTTCAGCCATCAGTCACGAAGGTGCTCTTCAGCAGGACTACGACGGTGGCGGTGATCAGTGGCTTAACGCTGCCGCCGGAGGCCCTGTGGCTTTCTGAGACTGGGGGAACTTTTTGGTCCCGATCGATCAAATAACCGTCAGGTATATTGTATTACTCAATAGTGCACCTCGAGAGAGCGTTAAACCAGATGAATCTGTAGGTACAACTGGAAATAAATAGGAACATATGTTATATATGTTATATTTATAACGGACTTTCCACACTTGCAGATTTTGATTCGAAAACATTAATATACAAGAAGGACATATCAACATGAAAAACAAATTAGCCATGGATAGTTCACAAAAGATGTCTTAAAACAATCTTAACCCAGACGATATGTAATACAATTTTTTTTTTAATCTTTCAAACCTTTCTAATATATATACTCTTTTATATATACATATTAATAAGATATTAACGGAGAAGATTCTATGTTAAAAGCAGTCTGGTTTTTACAGTGATATATTATTTAAAAGTTTATCATGTTATTACATTCATTTACATCCTGTGGAAGACAGTTCTATTATTAAATACAAATAATAAAAACAGGTCGAGGCCATGCTCATAACTATGGGATACGGATAAGAAGTAACCGGGATGGTAACCTGTGCCTTCTGAAGACGGCAGAAATTCTGACGCCCCAATCTGAAGTATTTAAATAACAATATATATACTGTCTCTTATACACATCTAGATGTGTATAATTCTTCTGGGAATTATATGGATCTTGTGGTTTAATTGACTATGCGCCTTGAGCACCATTGGTGGAGATGTGCGCTTTATAAATCTTTATTATTATTATTTGAAAACTAGTGTTGCATCTGCATACCAAAGATTGCGAAATCAATTGCCTGCAATCGGATTCAAACTTCCAATGAAAGCCTCAATGGTGAGGTGGTCTATAAAAGAAAGGGTATTTAATTTGAGGGAGACCTGCTTAACGTAAAAAATATATTATATTCATTGAGCTTCAATCGAATATTTATAGAAGCGATGACAATACGATACGATTTTCTTCGTAAATAAATTGCATTGCGTTTGAGAACACAAACGCATCCGTGCGATAATACATACGCCGCCGGCTGTAGGAATAAATCACATGTTGCCGGAAATGTCAATTTTGGCCTACCTACCACATCTGGCCTACTCAATAACTATGTATAAAACGTTATTCATGTTACTATTAAGTTTCTAAAGTGCCGATTCATATAATAATAACTCGTGCCTTGAGCATTATATTTGAAGCGAAATTCCACCTGCACAACTACTCTCTCAATGACAAAGTAGGACTTTATCCTACATAACAACTCAGTGCTTTTGTGTAGGCCCACCCTGCTACCTAATATTGACATACATAACTAGAGCACAATCCAAGAATGATAATACCTCCCCTGTATAAAATTCAAATGCATCTTTTTCTTTTAAAAAAACAATATTTTAAGAATGAAAACAGGATATTAACCTCCATTAGAATTCGAAACCGGGACCTGGGACTTAAGCCAGGCACTCACTGCCTTCTGTGACAGTCGTACGACCGTCGCATGACGAATCCACCTTTGCTTCCGGAGAGCGAGACGACGTAACGCCGGCTGCTGATTGTCAGTGGCAGTCTAAAAGGATCCTCATTAAAACAAATGATCCGTTGGTTTCGCGCCGTCGCGTGCTTACGTCGTGCGTAGTGAGTATCCGACTTTTACAAAGCGAATGTCATTACCAACTGACAGTGAATGCGTTTTACTTATGTGCAATCCGGTCTCAATTGAGAGCCTTCAATCGTTGTTTCTTGGACCGCGACAATCAATTCTAGGAAAATTCATTCAGAGATCTATTGATCAGTTTTTGAGATATTTAGGTCTGAGACCTTCCATTTTAAGCGTCTCAACAACATGCAGAACTCTCCGGAGCCTCACTGAAATTGCATACCTTTTTTTATTGGCCCATGACGAACCATTCCAGAAAGCTTTTCAGATGCATATTTTTTTTTTCGATACCTAGGTCTGGGAAGTTCCTTTTAAATGGTCCTCATATCCACACCCTTCTCCGGATCGTCACCAAAATTTCATCATTTCTTCCTTGAAATATGATAAGCCATTATGGTATGTTTGTTTCATTCAGATCCATTGATCAGTGTTTGAGATATTTAGGTCTGGGACGTTAGCATTTTAAATGACCCCAAATTTACACCCAAATCTGGATCTTTACCAAAATATGATCATTTTTTCCTAGTAACTTGGTTAATTCTTCCAGAAAATTTCCTTCAGATCAGTCGATTAGTTTTTGAGACATCTGGTCTTAGACTTTCTCGTTAAATGGTCCTCATATCCACAGCCTTCTCTGAATCTTCACTAAAATGCTGTTTTTTTTTTCCCTGGGACGATGACAAATCATTCTAAATAAAAGTTTCATTCAGATCAATTGATCAGTGTTTGATATGTTCTAGTTTGGGACGTAAGCACGTTCGTAAAATTGATAAACGAACCAAATATAATAATGTCTTCCTTGTAACATGGTTAACTCTTCCAGCAAGTTTCATATAGCTCAGTTTATAAAATATCTAGTGCGGGGAGTTCCCACATCCACGCTCCACGCCGGATCGTCACCAAAATAAAAAGGAACCCTCCATTAAATGTTCAATGAAATGACAATTACTGATTTGGTTTAAGGGATCGAATCCACATGGACCAAATTCCCTATGAAACCGGCTCTTACGGTGTAACCTATTGATAGAACACACAAGTTTTTGTGCAATATCATAATTTTTTTAATTTGTATATTTTTGTAAATTAAATCATTTTAGCCTTTGGTTACTTTTTGTATTCTTTTATACCTGCATAAAATAAATAAATTAAAATTCATATTATTAATTTATCGTTTTTCAATCTGCAACACAATGTTTGTGTTAATTACAGTATTAGAACATTTTTTTAAATAGATAAAACAATATTATAAAAATTGCAAACATGCTTACGTCTATACGTGTAATTTGCACCATGATATTAAGGTGTAGCCTATTGATAAAACATAGTACGGTATATTTTACACAGATAAAACCTCAAAAATTCAACCAAAACTTTGAATAGCTCATTTAAAAGGACCAAAGTTATTAACTTTCACCCAGAAACGGACCGAAAACATAGATTTCATTAACTTAAAGATATTATACTACAAAAATCGTTAAATTGTTTAACTGCCAATTTAATTGTCTAACAGTAGGCTATACAAGATAATACAGAAAAGGTATAATTATTTAGCTGTCATTTACATGATGGGGTCATTTCTGCTCAAGCAAAAATTTATTTGTAAGTTTATCTTACTATATATACAAGTTACCGAATACAATTCAAATATGTAATTTATTACAGTATTATATTTTGTGTAGTTCATGACAGCGTGTACTTCTTTAAACCTTTCTTACGTCCGTTGAAAACGTGCTCTCCCTACGCTGCGATTTTCTGATCTATATTCACCCAATCTCGTTTAAAATTGTGCGTTCGCTGACCTGTGCAGTACAGTTGTGCCGTTTTAAGGCAGTAGATTCTCGATCATGTCTGACAGCTTAAACGTTTAATTTTAGTCAATAACTCGTCAGACTTGTCGGTGTTAACGTCAATATACTATCAACTATCGTGTCACAATTTGCCATATTATTATTATTGTATAGCTGAGAATCGTAAAATTTGATTATTAAATTAATCACAAACGTAGCAAATAAATGAGATTAATTGTAGTGATAACAGAAAAGATGATTGCACATACGTGCTTTAAACCCACTGTTAGCTTATTTCTTATTTTCTAAGAAATGTCCCTCAGGTTTATGAATACCATTGATCAATACCATATTATATAATTGTACGACTGTTCTGCCTACGTGGGCCTTAAAGTTCTATTATTCCTCCTATGTAGGCTTACCGGTCAATTATGTTTCAATATAATTATATATATTCAATTCAATTCAATTGAATTAACATTTATTCAATTAATTAATAAATACATCAAATGATAAATAAAGTGGACAACATTAAAATGAATTAATTAGGATAAAAAATATACGTATGTATATATATATATATATATATATATATATATATATTATATATGCTTATAAAGAACTAACATATAGAATCAATGTTGCTAGTGGCACGTGGTTTATACAGTACATATAAATAACCAAATAATGGTAGGAACATTAAATATAGGTACATGTCACTTGGGTGCACCTCAAATCATTACCGGTATCCTGTGGAAGTTATATATCTAATCATTATTATCATAATCATCATTGTCAGATGCAGTAGCAGAAGCAGCAGCAGCATGACGTGAGTGGAGTGAATCCTATAGAAATTGTTTTCAGGAGTATTTGCAATTAGGATTAAAGTGCGTGAGCGCAGAGATCGACAACACTCTAGATTGCAATTGGGATTGGAATCACATAAAACCCCCATAAATATATAATTCATTGCTGAACTTATGCGTTTTTCAAATAGATTTCCATATTATTTCATCTCCAGGGACAAATAAACGATCTACGAAATTAAACAATTGACTCAGTTTTAAATGAAATGACATAAGCCGTGCGATATTAAAAAGAAGGTGTTGTTTCCGACAAGTTTTGTTGTCATTAATAGATTTGGTGAAAGTTCACCATGGCACTTGTTCTAATAATACGACAGGAGTTTGTTTTTCTTTAATGCAATTTTTAAATATTTCTTAACATGTTTTGGAATAAACTTATACTATAACAGGTAGACACATGATTATTTAAAACCAGAACTAGTGCAGGAATTGAGCACGACTTTTTACGTAAATTCGCCTACCTATTGAATATCGGACATGTGTATGCATCTGTGCCTGTGTATGTATCAAGCAGACATCGAACTCGGCTATTGTAATTTAATTGTCCTAACTTGAACCGGGACACTTGATGCTTACGGTAGAGCACTTAAACATATGGAAACAAAAATAGAAATAATAGAGCGCATATAAAGGTGTAACGTCAGGTGATTATTGATATTATCACCAGAGAGATATGAAAATAACTTTCTTCAAATGTTATTTTACACATACAATACGTCGTGTTTAACGATTTTCGATTGCGTTTCTATCATAGCTATTGTAAATCGATATGTTTACAAAACAATAACTTCCGAGCTATATTTAAGTGGCTAATGTGTCACAATAGTTTCACGAACTCGGTCGAATATTTTTCAATATCTTCCTCTATTCCGTGTTGTTATTCTCATTACGTTAAATATTATAACATTGGGCTCTCTGGTGTGATTTCGTGTGAATAACGAGTGTCTTCATTTAGGCAAATTTAAACGTATCTGTTAAGAGTTTTGTGCATGTGGATATGACGTATTACAATAGTAACACTTAGACTGATGTTATCTGAATTATATTTATTGAAGCTATTTTCTCGTAGAGTTCATTTTATATGTAGGTTATGTATTGATCATTCGCATTGATTGTCTGTTAATCATTATTAAATTTAAACACATACCGTACTGTATATATTATCATTGCGTCTATCTTAACAGATTTGGATATTTTCTTAGTTTTTGGATAATGTTTTGTTACAGCATGAAATTATCCAGCCGAGATTTGTGATTTTCGTAAAGTTCTTTTACAAAATGCTTAGTCATTTGTAAGGGTCTATATAGGCCTACGGACTTTATCCTTGACCGAGAACTCCCGATGACGTCATTTACAGTGGTAGAGGAGGGAAATTTTAGGCGTAATGAAGCGTAATAAAATAAAATCGAAGTCGAGCCGGTGACATCAAAGCTGTAGCATCATTTATCGATGTGAAATCCAAAATACCATCAACAATTTAAAAGTTTATATCCTATCTTACTACACGCTTTAATGCAGAAAAGTTTATTGAACTTAAGAGTATTAGCAAATGTCTCCTAAAATTCATACCTCTAAATCATAAAATAAGCCTGGACTATATTTCCCAGTTCTTGTATTTTCATCATCATTTATAATATTTACCAGAATCAATTTAAGTCTATGTGTAATAATCATTATATAATATAATATAACGATAACATACATTATCATAGCGATTAAAGAGTGCGCAAAATGGTGAACGATTAAGTTCCAGAATCAAGACTGCTCGCAACGCTTTATTTCTCTGGAAAGTGTAACAATGACAGATATTTTTTTAGTAAACTATATACATATAGGCCTATATATAATATAAGATATATATATATATATATATATATATATATAATTACTTTTATTATTATTAATAATATTATCATCATCATTATTATATATTCTTTACTATAATCATTATCATCATCAACTATACTGTACATGGCTATATTTATATGTTCCGAGTTACATTATCTATAAGAGTTATAACTAAACCTTTACTTTCCTCTGTGCATCAATGCCATGGACAGAGCATCATAAATCCGGGATCGAATTTGACGCTACGGTACTATAACGTAGTGTTAATGGCTCTATATATCAACCCGTAGGCGTGGACACGACTCTTAAATGGGTGCGATATTTTTCAAGTACGGCCGTGTCTTCTCATCTTTACTGTATCGTATATAAAATTGTAATACAGAGTATTTTCTGATATTGTGATGGTGCATTATTAAAGGCTTCACCTGATCCATTTATCACATCTTGATCGTGCAATTAAAATGACGCACATAGAGAACAGGAGAAGTTCCATTGATCGGAGAATATGTGTGATTCGTTGCGACTGAAACAATCCATCAATATCTGTTGTACTCTATAGTGATATGTCTATCGTATTTACGTCAACTTGCTACCCAGTTACACCCGATCCTACCTAAATGATCTGATAAGTATCCGTTAACACGTAAAGTACATACTATAGGTGTGTTTTTTAACCATTATATGCCTATATACTTTTTTTCGAATAGGCATCATCTGAAACATTCTCGTGCTACTTTGCTATCGTCCGTGTGGATTTTATTTTTATATGTTTCAATCAATTTTTTAATCGTTTCATTATGATATTTGAGTGTGTAAACGTGTTCGTTGTTTGTTTTTTTTTCACACATTCCGCAAAACAATTCACTAACGAACATTATTGAACATTTCAAGATAGGAATATAATGTTGGAGGTAAATTTGATGATGTTACTAGGCATGACTTGAATGGGTTGGTGAAATGAACAAATAATAATCTAATAATTGGTGAAATGAACAAATAATAATCTAATAATAAGTTCCAAGATAATCCTGACCCTAGAGATTAAGGGTGCCACCTTAGGTGACAGGTTCACCTTTGGTCACTCTGTTCTTCAAAAAGGGAAAATGTAGGTCTACATTTTAAAATGATATCAATGGCTGTATGTATGTGAGGGTGGCTATTGAAACATGTGCAAGTAACGATTGAACATATAATTATGAGTATATTATTACTATCTGCATTATTATTATTTAATTTTGTACCTGTTTTTGTTGTGTTGTGTTACTTGTGAACATGATTGTTTAAAGAAAGATTTATTGACTTCCCTTGTCACTCAAATATCGGGCTAAACGGTTGTTTAAAGTGGAGTCATTTTCAAATATGCTTAAGGTCAAATATATTAATCTGCTGGATAAAGCCGTCAAATAACTCCAAAAATGTAGGAATATAACAGAAGGGGTAGAAATAGGGTCGAATGACAGGAAAGCTCCACCACCGCAACTTAAGACGAGTAGCGTCAGTCAAGGCTTTCCGTAACGTCTCAGGCCCCTCGGAAATTAGTAGGTGTGTGCATCAGCTATGGAAGTGTAGCTGAAGTTGGAAAATAACTGATACTGATGATTTATGGTGGGATATTGTGTGTAATCCCGTGTTGGCCGACTGAGTTGTCGAGGGGATTCCGTAAAACTGTAATAAATACGGTAATTCTTGTAGTAGACCTATCTTTAAGTGCCAGTGACAAATAATATTTTCTGCTATACAAATATTTCTACTCCAATTAGGCCCCTAATTAATTATTTATTATTATTATTATTATTATTACTATTATTATTATTAGGCCTATTATTATTATTTTCATGTATATTTTTCTTTCAGGTCAATTACAGAAGCGAGCTAAAAGCAGAAAGAAGGGTGGCAGAAGACGAAAAGGAAAAGAATGTGTGGGAAGGTTCGGGCCTTTAATCCACCAGTGCTAATTGAACTATCACACTCATTTCATTTAGGTCTATTTAGTGAAATAAGTAATATTATTGAAAAATTCCTTAAACAGACATTCCACGGACGGATCTGAAAGTCATCTGCATTTTCGCACAGTTGGAAGAGTTTATTATTGATTGATTAAATAATTAATTAATTAATTGATTTATTGACTGATAATTTGATTAACTTAATATTTGACTGATTGATTAATTATATGATAAGTATATTTGTAATTTCAAAACGATGTACACTTTTGAGTTAGTTTAACTATAAGTTGTCATTACTTGATACACACTATAGTATTATGAGCTTATACGAGCTTGAAATTATATTATTAAAAACGAATCAACATGACCATATGATATTGGGGAAAATGTCGTAGGTGACACGTCTGAACAAACATGAGTAGATTGGACGTTTCTGATATAATTGAAATTGTATTTAAGGTATGATTATCCTAAACTAAGTGAATTACCCTTTCAAACCTTTCGTGGTGCTAAATTTTGTCTGCGCCCTTTCCACCTCATTTTTGCGCCAACAATTTGTCCCAAATTACGTGATAATAAAAACCAAGATACCGTCACAACATGCATACTGTATTTGTAAAAAGTCTTCAAGCGATCATAAGGCATAAAGTTAGGCATGCTAATATTTAGGTAAAGAAGGTTAAAGGTTCATAATTCAGGCCTAGTTCAATAACCGCATTCTTATCCGCTATAAACGGCAACCCCACCATGTACGTACTGTAATACAGAAAGCCCCAGTGTTTGCGATGTTTATACTGCTGACTTTAATTTATCAGCATTAGTAGGCCTACAAAACAATAGCCAATTACTTTGTATATCACGGTGGTGCTACCTAATTACCGTCACCACCTTCTTATAAATGGGTGATTAATTCCAAAGTGAGGCCCAATGTTAATAACTTTGCAATAGGCCTATACCAATGTTGTAATTAACATTTGGCATACAATAATAATTTACGACAATTCATTGCCAAGTTGAAAACATCCAAACTCTATATGTGTCTACTGGGCTAAGAATTAACTATATGGCCCCGCCCATTCTTGACCGTCACCCTCAATACACTGTACACAATAAAGTAACACATTATCAGATATAGTGTGATTCGGTCGTGATTTATTACGACAAAAGGCAAATGGACCGTCGCACACGATCGGTCCCTAAATTAATTTCCATAGTAAAAATTCTTAAAAAGTGGCCAACAAGCCAAGCGGCAGGGTGCCGAAGCGCCCTAGTGTATTTGAGGAGGAAGGGGTGGCAGGTGGGAAAAAGAATTTCCAAGGAGTTATCGGTGCACGGAGCGAGGTAATTTCAATCCGCAACGAGAAAAGGGGTCCGGTTATGATTCCACACGAGGAAATGCAACGGGTTGAAATTATTACGCCGACTGAGTGACACCAATTGGGGTGTACCTACGCCCCTTGACACAAATAGTTTTTCCGCTGATGTCGGAAAATTATTTGTGTCTACTGGGCTAAGAATTAACTATTTTTCTCGGAAAGTCAAAACATCAAGTTACGTTGTTTTGCATCGGAACGACCGTGTTAAGTTTCACATGTGGGGATATACGCCTACCTCTTGTAAGTGGTTTGCGATTCTCCAAATTTTGGTGATATTGTATGTTCATAATTGCGATAATTGTCTCCTCCAAGATATTACTAGCTTATTCAATAGGTCTACATGACCACTATGGTTTTTATGTGAGCAAGTGCAATACAGAAATAATCATTAGGAAAAAAATGGGTAAAGCATTTAAACGTTCAGGCTTGTTTCTCGTTCTGCTTCAAACTCTACGAGTGAGTGAAGACTGAGGTAAAACTTTCACCTTGTGATAATAACAAAGATCCACCATCACCCGGGTTGTTTAACAAAATGGCTCGTTATTATGCATTAATAAAGATGAATCTCAAAAAAAAGGTTTAAGCATTATTCAGTCCATTATTTTATTTAAAAAAAATAAAATCACAATATATAAAATGTGTTGGTTAGGAACAACCTTATATGCACATCACTTTATTCATTGTGTCTCATCTCCTGTAAACAGATATAATAGGACGGTAAAAAATCGCTTGGGCCAGGTAACACAAAGAAACGGTAGGCCTATGCGAGTGAGGAGATAAAAGTAAGTTCGGAGCAGCCAAACCCAACGAAATTATTGTAACTTTTTATTCAATACTTCAAGAAGAGGTTCGATTAAGCTACACTGATTTGTTTTTATTTTTGTTTCGACAGTAAGAACAAATCGAAACAAAGTCCACAGGGACAATGTTTGGAAAATATATATGTAAAATCTTTTCAAACAATTGGTAAAAGGTAAAAATTTGATCTTAAGACAGAAAACCTTTCTATAAATGGCTCACTAAACTTGGACGTTAACGATACCGTTGACTACTATTTACAGAAAACCATTTCTTTCTGACAAAACAATGTTTGTTCTATCACTCAGTTCTTGTGCAATGTAATATGGCTAAATTATACTGTATGGCACGCCTTATATCTAAATGTATGTGATTGCTTGCGATTGAAAATTTGCACAAGTTGAATAACTTGTATGTAATGTACATGGAAGGAAAATAAACAGGCTTCTAAAGCATCATATATAAATAAATCATTAAGTTGTATATAATAAAATATAAAGGAATGTATCAGTCTCTGTATGACTTTTTTATGTAACGTCCAAATTGTATAAAGCTATAGGAATGATAATAATAATTATAATAATAACAATAACAACGTTAATAATAATAATAATAATAATAATAATAATAAAATATCAATTATAAATAATTTACTACATAATCAAAGAACGGTGTGATTTGTTTGTTTATGCAGTTTGAAATTTGACACACGGTACACATTAAAAGGGTCACATATAATTTCCTGCTGTTACGTCATTTTAAGGCTCCAAAAATATCGTTGCCGTATTTATATATATTTATATATCACCAGCTAATACGCGCGTTAATGTCGGTTCTCAAAAGTATAAGATGACCACAGTACATCCTTTTAAATACACGGTTAACAGCTTGATTGCTTTTTATGTGTAATGGTAAATTTCAACGACGTCTATGTGTTCGTTATTAGACTATCGGTCATAATTCAATAATTACAAGTTATAATGATAATGAAATAAAATCAATAATATGTTATGATATGAAGAGCATTAATTACAGTTTCCTTATTTAAACTCATCAAAGGCCTGGTATAGCACTTTCTGTTGGTCGTTGCTACGACAAGAATTCCTGCATTCATTTTAATGTAAAGACTCTGTAACACTGTAGCGAATAGAGCCAACGTATTTCGAAGTTTATGAAAATTTTGGTTTACGTTCGCGTAAGTTGACATTCGTTCGTGTAACGTTAGTAATACGTTTGACATACGTTGTATTCGTTAGCAATTCGTAGGGGTACGCAGAGGTACGCTGGGGTCGATTTTAAATTTTGGACATGTTCAAAATTTTGAACGTATGACAACGTTCTGCTAATTACGCTATTCATACGGTGAGCATTCCTTGTTTGAACGTTTTGCACGTTTGGTTTACGTTTTCTCTTCGTTCGTTGCTCGTCCAAATACGTTCAAGAAAAGCAAAGAATCTTTATCAATAATGAGAAGAACATTTGAAAACAATAATCATGATTATACAAATCCAATTTGGAATGGACACCATTGTTTGGACATCCCCGGGGTCCCACCCTCCTCCATTCATGTCAATGGGAAGTTTTTTTTATTTTTAGAGATAACGACGATACACACTGCAATTAGGCCAACATGCAATTTTAATAATCCAATAATTAATTACATTAAAAAGACAACACGCTAGATCCTCGGCAGGAAGCGCCAGCTATGGCGTCTGAAGAGGGAGGATAATCAATGTAAATAGAAGAGAGTATAGGCCTACATATTTGTATTCAGGTTTTACAATATTTTTTTTTTAATGTAAACGTACCGTACGTAGGCCGGATATTTATAAACAATGTTTGTTCGCATGCATCATAAAGAACCTACGTATGATCTCATTCCCAATCTTATTAATTAATAACATTTAAATAACAGACTACTGTAAATTTCACGCTTAATAATAGCTGATAGATTAAAAGGATACCGCAAAAACACAACTCTTAATGAGCCGCTTAAACTTTAAAAAGTCATAAAACTGTAGAGGGCGTACTGCGTTAAAATATATTACAAACATAAATTAATACACAAATCATGTAGTTCTACCGTATACCACACACGATTTTAATGTTACAACTATCATGGTTATTAAAGGTCGGTGTGCTAAAGTAACCTCCGTCATTTTTTATTTGATTATTTGCTTTTAGGTTATTTTTAATTTTCTAAATGAGCAGTATACACAAAAACGACTTAGGCTGTCTGTCGTTTTGAGATGCTAATCAGAGCTGCAATGCGCAGGCAGTGTGGGGAGTGTTTATTACTGAGGCTTTCATATTAAATTTACGCAGACAAATATTGAAATTATTATTATCAGGTCAAAATAAATATTAATAACATTTGCTGTGACTTGACAAGATTGACACGGTTTGTGATTCATGATACTACGTCACGCTGTCCACTTATAAAAGCTGCTTAAGGTTCGATGACTTGCCCAAATCAAGATGAACAATTAGGCGTATGTTACGTGATACAAACAATGGTATTTTAAAATGAGTTGTTCGAAATTTAATTGCGGATTTGAAAAGTTTCCTAGCTTATTCAGGTGCTCGGTTATTACACTATATGACTGTCACAAAATATAATTTTCAAATGTAACAATTATACGTGGTCTCACTGTAGTGTATTACAAAAGAAGCATGGCTGACTCTCCCTAAACCAGTGGCTGTGTCCAAAATTCTACAACGAAATTGAAGGCGGTCTTGCATGAACACGCACGACCATCTTCATAAAATTCCATCACCCCATGCCACACCTAATGAACTCCAATGTTCCGCACACATTCAGTACAACATGAATACACAAAATGTTTTGTGTATTCCATCTTTTCCCACTCCCATGCGCCATTGTATTTTATGCATTGTCACATCACCTCACTGTATAGTTCCGTTGCCTCTGTATGTATATTTGATGTGGATGTAAATTCAAAGTGTAAATTCAAGCACAACAGCTTTTTTTATGATCTGACTTCAAATATATGGGATGCGATGGGTGTGAGAGAAAGAAAGATGTGGGGGCCTTTTGTATTTAATAGATTGTCATCACTGAATATTTAAATACAATTGGTGTTAATTATATATTTATTTTCTTACCATTTGATCTAGTATTCACTATTGGCAAGTTAAAGGCATTTTTGCAATATTAGTTGGAAATGCTTAAACTTAATTTACATCAGAACTATATAACATCCTTTAGATTCTTGATGTTATCTTGAACTAAAAGCAATGAATAAACACGTACACTACCTGTAAAGTTTCCATGGTAATCGCTCAACTTCTTCAGAATAATAATTATCCTGGAGCTATAATAAAAGGTTCGACGACTCTGAAGTGCGCCACCAGCCGGCCTAGATTGTTTTTTTTGACGGAATGTCTCCGGAGCCCCTCTTAGTAGAGGACCTGACTTAGATTTGTATGCACTTCATTTAGGAGAAAATTTCTCAACTGTTATAGACTAATATGAACCCTAGGAATAACATGGGATATGTGCCAAAATCTCTATCCGGGACGAACAGCCCGAAAATGACTACGCCCTTTATTAAATGACCACGCCCCCTTTTTATAGGGTGGGGTATTTTGAAATTAAGCTAGATGGTATAAGAAAATAGCAAATAAAGGGGTTTTTGTTCTAAATGAGCACACATGACAAGGGGATTAAATTCCTAAAATTACGTCTCAGTCCATTTTCCGTTCATATGCAAATTAGATTGAATATGCAAATTAGGAGTGAAAAAATAGGGTTCCCATGTGCTGAGAACCGTTTAGTTGTAGTGAGTTCCTTTCTTTTTTAAATTGTTTGGACCATGCATATTTCTATTTGTTCTGATGTGAAATTTGCTTAAAAAATGACCGGAAATGCCATATTTGACCTTTGGCCCTATTTACAAGTTTTCCCTATTCCCATGTCTACTGGCTGTAAAAACTTGGTTTCGGTCTCAAATTATTTAAATATAATTAGTTTTACTCACTTTTGGTTCAAATTTTTGAAGGCACCTAGACTACAGTTTTGACCTTTGACCTGGCAGGTCACTTTAGTTGTGTGTAACTTCATAATAATATGTCAAATATATTGACTTTGACGTCATATTCTTTAGAAGTTGTGATTTTATCAGAAATTAACAATAAATTGTATTTCCAACAATCAGCAGCATTTACTCAGTGATTGGGTTTTTACAACAATCACCACCCTTGCATTTACAGTACTTGCAACACTTTAGTCTAGCTCTTCTACAGGGACACGAATTCTTGCGAGCACATTTGCCACACGTGGGATCTGGCAGGCCTTCAGGTTTCGAGATCACAATCAGGGACTAATACAGTAAACTGCCACTCCTTACAAAACCAAAATTCTCAGCATTGATAATTGATATGGCATCTCTAAATGGGGCTTGGACCCACAGCTGCTGTTGGTGTAGTCTATAGATATGTTTTCTTGCATTAGTTGAGGTACAAATTGTTCTCCCAAAGTCCATCTTGAGGGTATTGCTATCAAATGCAGCAAGACGCAGATCGTCAAATCATTCAATTTCTGATTGGCGCCACCAACTGTCGGAAAATGTTCATGTAAAATAATATAATGAAATAAACTAATCTTTTTCATAATCAATAAGTGAAACAAAAGTATAAATTTAGAGACTAGTTGAAATATTTATATTATTTATTAAGCCACAGGATATCGTGCAACAGTAAAGCTCTTCAGGTAAATGTACGTGTATAAATGTTAGGACAACTAGAGGGATAATTAAGACAGTCGCAGTGTGAAGTAGATTTTGATTCTCAGACGAGCAGTCGGTCATTGCGATATTTCCGTAACTGTAAGATTTTCTATTATTTATCGTCTTTTATACAGAACATCATAATAGGTTGTAACATTATGAAAAGTCAAAGTAAGACAGTATCACAGTAAAACAAAACATCCACATTGGTAAATATAGATAATATATAACTATATATTATACATAATAGGCAACAGAAACTTTGAATAGATTAATAAAGTATTGGATAGGTTGATTTTACCATTGAATAATTACAAGAAGTATAGAGTCGAGATATTGAATAAAGCACACAAATTATTAACGTCGGAGTGAATAAAATAAAGGCATATATGAGCAGCATAGACGAGTCCTAAAAAGGGCG